TGGGGTATTGCATTTTACTTGATTTTCGAGTTCCATCACAAAAAAAATTCTTTAAGCTATGGTTTTCTAACTTTTCTTCTAAGTCGCGTGCATAGGCTGCGATAATATCGGGTGCATTTGGTAAAAGTTCTCGTTTGCTAACCCATATGGATTCATACTCAGGTTGGGTTTTGAACTTTACCTTGTATTGCTTTTGTGGTCTTCCTCTGCCACTTGTGGAGAAGTACCCATATCTCAGTATTCTTTCAACTTCATAACCTCCGTCCATGGAGGGTGAAAATATGGATGGTCTGTTAGGAAAATATTGGCCTTCGACATAGGGTAGAAGTTTAGAAGCACGAAAGACATAATAAGTCTTTAGGTGTGGGGTTACGTCAACTCGATATGATGGTCCATCTGTGTCCCCTACCACCTTAAGAATTTTTCAGGGTCTATAGTAGACAAGCAACAATTTTTGTAACATTCCTTCTTCAAGGGAGAACTCCTTAGATTTTACCCAGACCAGAGCACCTTCTTTGAACTGCGCTGGTTTTCGATGTTTGTTTGCTTCTTTAATCATCTCGATTTGAGTTTTTATTATATTCTTCTTTACTTTAGCAATATCTTGTTTATGTAGAATTGCAAATTCTCTCGTACCTGGGGGCACCCGTTGGACTTGTTCTCTGGTCAAAGCATCAATAGGGCACCTAGACTTCCAACCTTTGTGTCATGCATTGGGCGACGAGCGTCCTATCAGTGATAATGTGAACATTGTTGGTATATGCGCTAACAATCTTAGGCAAGTTCTCATCCCAAAGATTCCTAATCAATCTTGTCAGGCTGAACATTATCGAAACATACATGCGCAAAAGTTGTTGGCACAGTGGATTCATCTTTTTAATTTGTCCATTGTTTCAGGGTATCTCCCTGACGACATGGTGAACCGAGTGTCATAACTTCGTACAAGTTTTTGTCACTAGTGGCATGTGAATCTGACATCTCGATTAGATACGATAATTTTCAGGATTCCATATTAAAAAAATCATCACATCTAGAACTCTTACATGACGAGTTATATCTTGGCTTCAACTGGTAAAGGAATGAACATGACATACTTGGAGAATCTGTCAACAATCACCATCACCTGACATTCGCGTTTTGGTTTTTTGTGAGACTTATAAAGTCGATGGAGATGGACTCACCTGATTCACTTGGAATAGGTAGTGGTATGAGTAATCCCAGAGGATTCTCATGAGACGATCTGTTTCTCTGACAGACAAAACAAGTTCTGACATATGTTAGTACATCCTTTTTTTATTCCTTTCCACTCAAAAAACTCACGTGTGTTAGCAAACGTCTTCTTAAACCTAAAGTGACCCTCCACATCATGACATTCCTCAATAATCACACTTGTAATTTCTTCTTTACGAGGAACACAATTTTTTCTTTGATAGGATCAATAAAGAAGAGTATGCCATCAGACAAACGGTACTCAGGAAAGAGTTCGGGATTTTTTCGTAGGGTCTAAATGATAGGAATCCAAATGGGGGTCCTAGCATACCCTTTTCGAATCTGGTCTTTTAACTCAGTTCCGATGTTAAGGGAGGTAACAATTGTTTCAAAGAAATCAGAACGTATAGACACAACATTCGCAAAACCATTAGATTTTCCTTTTATAGTTTTTAACTCGAAGTCACAGGTGTCAATGAATGCAGACCATCTTACAAACTTGTCAGATAATTGAGGTTGCGTTTTTATCTGCTTCAAGGTCAAGTATCTGAGTAGACTCTGAAGTGTCTTTCGAGCAAGGAGTGCTTCCGAGTGTCCATCACTTCAACTAAGGCATACAACTCTCTTTCATATGTGGAGTTATCTATTTTATCTGATGGTAGGCACCTAGAACATGAACTGGACAGGTCTATAACCTTTGTCATCATCTTGTTGTAGCAACCCCAATCCCATATTGACAAGCGTCAGTCGTGACAATCAAGGGAAGAGACAGATAGTCACAGATTGGAGGGGAAGGAGGAGGAGAGTTTCGTGTGAATCAATAGCGCAGTAGTTCTCTCGTCTTGCCCACTTCCTCCTCGGGCATCTCCCACTATCGTCAAATCAGCAAGTCAGTACTACTCTGACGATCTCTTACATGTACTTGTGCATGTCACATCAATGCGCCCATCATCAGTCCACGTCAGCAGAAACTACAGGTCCACTTGGAGATGAGCAACAGATCACACTCCACGTTATAAGTAAGTCTAGGTAAGCTTCCCCTCATCACACACGCCAACTTCACAGTCCAGATCATCCTTCTCCTCGCCTCCTAGACTCCTTTGCTACCAAGGTCTACTTCACTCGGCTATGGCCGCAACAACGTAATCTCTCTCCTGGTTGGTGCCCAAACTTAACACTCGCGCTAGCATAAAGCTCTCGTAGCCTTACATTGTCGAACTAGCATCAAGCCAGTGCAAGACGAAATGATTTTTCGCATGCGCTGGGTCATCTTTATATGGTTGACTCACGTTGACCAGCCTTTGGTCGTCTCTGGTCGACGGTCCAGATGAAACAGCAGCCGATGGCCTGGATGCAGCGCAGTCCCAGGTCCCTTTGTGTTGCAGTCGGACTGGAATCTTCTGGATATGTGTAGACAAACAAAGATGTATATCTGATCAACGGTTGTGGCTGACCAGCTGGTTTACTTTGACTTCTGGGCCTGGAATTCCGTGTTGGGGTTGACTGTTGGCTTTCTGGAAGTCAACTGTTGCACGAAGGGCCTCTGAATGCTGTCTTTGACCCTACCCAGGGTACCTACCGGCCTTAGGCCTTAGCCCTGGAGTTCCTTAGACTTAGGGCACGACTTTTGACCCATGTTTCGGGCCTTTGACCAACAGTTACGAGCCCTGGCCGGCGTCTACGCAGATTCTGAACTTGGGGTATTCAAGGTGTTGCAAAAAATACTACACCTAATTTTGTATGGGACTGGGTCGCCGGGCTTTTATAAAGACATTGTTCGTTTAAAATTAAAAATAATTAAAAAATAATTTAAAAAAAACTACAATTCCTTCTTTTTTTCCCTTTTTTCTTTTTTTTGACTACATTTCTGAATACCCCGGTCTGTTGCACGATGGGAAAAAAAAAAAAAAAAAAAAAAACACTGTGGTCTCTTCACTAAGGGTTCCACGAGTACCATCACCCTCAAGCGCTGGCTGCGCCGGTTCATTTGCTCTCCCTACGAATGAACTCAGTCTGACTGGCTGTGCCGGTTCACTTTCTTCGAAAACGAAAGAACTCGTATTCATGTATTCATATATTAAGTGGCTGCGCCGGGTCACGTTCTCCAAATAACGAATGTCTTCGCACTGAGTAGCTGCGCCGATTCATTTTCTCCGAATATCCAATGCGTTCATACTCACATGCTGCGCAGGTTCATCTTCTTCGACTACGAATGAAGTCATATTGATAACGGTGAATGCACACGAAAAAGTGGAAGAAGAAAGACCCCATCCCACAGACTGCATGCTGCCCCCTGAGATGTTTTCTTTCCTGCCGGCTTACGCTAAGTCGCCACGCGGAAGTGATTGTCTTCGTTTCTCGTTTCGTTGTGGGCGTCATGTCATGTCAGGCAACGGTTCGTGCTCCTGGAGTCGCGGAGGCGACGTCCCGGTTCCACGAATAAGCCTCGCTCCACTACTCTCCACATGCATAAATGGGCCTCGCTGCACTACTCTTGAAATGAACAAAAAACAAAAATCATGTCGCTGTATCTTTCCATGTTCTAGCGGAAGATTCACTCTCGTTTTGCACCTTTCGAGAGTAGTGCAGCGAGGCCCAAAAGTCAATAAATATTGCGATGTATTACGTATATTCCCATGTTCTGCAAGAAAATTCGTTCTCATTTTGCACATTTGGTGAGGTGTATGCAGCGAGGCCCATTTGCCGTCGGTCTCTGTTATCTGCGGTCAAAAGACATCAGTGTGACAGTGAATCGCTTCAAGTGGGACCTTCGCCCGGCGGTTCTGAGCCAATCAATTGACTTTGGCCTTGACCTTGACCTCTGTTTTTTTTTTTTTTTAAGTCCAGGGTGTTGAAGAGGTTGGCTTCTGGACCCACGGGCCATGACAGGTACCTTTCAGCAGTCAACCGTCGGGATCAACCCACCCCTCCCCCCTCCCTCCCAACCTCAGGGCTATATTCTCACAGGCACATCCCTTACTTTTCCTCCGTCGCGCCTCAATACAAGGACCATCACCATCACCCAACCCCCGGCCAGGTGGACGGGGTGAGACCGCAATAACTGTTGTAGACACTACCTTGGTAGGGCTAATCAAACCTTGGCCCTGACCAAGACCTTGAGAGCTTCTGTCCGTACTGTATATAGGGCAGCGCGACACCGGATCTTAACCTCGACTCTGATCTTGACCAAGAGCTTGCGAGCGCTTGTCGCTAATATGTATAGCGTAGCGCGGCAGTTCGATGAGGTGAGGATTGAGCGTGCACTTAGCGCGGTACCGCGACACAATATTGATTTGAATAATATCGGATCAATTACAGCGTGATTACTGCTCTAACGGTAGGCAGTACTGCTAGAAGCCGTCCACTTGGTGATCGGAAGATGGTGGCTGTGTCGCATTACTGTAATGTCATGCGGAGTGGGAGGCGATTTTCGAGAAAACCTCGCGTCGCATTCTGACGTGCGTATTGTACTCAATCGCTTATTGGCAGAGGAGGGGTGTGCGGGCCGAGGGCAGGAAAAGACTGCAGGGAGACGGCAGGCAGATACACAGGATACACAGAGAGAGAGAGAGAGAGAGAGAGAGAGAGAGAGAGAGAGAGAGAGAGAGAGAGAGAGGAGGAGGAGGAGGAGGACAGGTCGGAGAAGGCTTCATGAAGCTGCAGCTTGCACAGTGACCCTTGTTTATCGGAGAGATCACTCGGCTCTGCTTCCTCTGCTCGAAAGCGAATTGTCGACTGCCACCCAATACCGCGAATTGCAGTACGTCAGACTAGACGCCTGCGGAATTGGTGATCAAGTCGGGATCAGTGCGTGGTGACGACCGCCCTCCGCGGAAGAAAGATGGCTTTTCTAGCGGCGGCGGCGGCGACGGCGGTACTTCTCCTCTGTTCGTCGGTACTGCAGCCAGCGGCAGTCGTCGTCTCGGCGTCGTCTTCGTCGTCTGCCATCGCCAACCGAACTGATCCGATTGCTGAGGTCGTCCGTACACGGCGGAGCAGCACTATCGATACGTGGAACAGCGGCCGCCGTTTGGCTCGTTTGGCTATGGCGGCGTCGAGGAGAAGGCTGCTGCAGGCAGCCACGTCATCGTATCCGACTCCTCCTTCCGTCATCCCGACAAGCTCTGACGGGCACTGCGCGCCGCCGGCAGCCACGTCGACGCTGTCCGACTTCGTCTGCATGTCCGACCTCGGGGGGGGGGCTTCCTTCCACTGGAGCCTGACAAGCGCCAATCGGGATCCCAACCAGACGGTCAGAATCGCCTTCCAGGTACAGAAACCCGTCTTCTGGATGTCCGTCGGATGGTCGCCCAACGGCCAGATGGCGGGAGACTGTGTGATCTACTCCTCCTCCTCCTCGGACAGGAATGCACCTGGTCCATATCGCATCCTCGCAAAATCGAAGGACGGGATTGTGCCGAGCGACAAGTTTCAGGTTCTAGACTCGTCGGTAGACGCGGGAGATTCGGAGACGACGCTGAGGTTTGGTCGTCGGTTCAGCGATGGCGCCATCAGGCTTGCCCATACCGGTCCCAATCGCATGATTTGGGCCCATTCGGTCCCTTCCACTGCCTCGTCCTTCTCGTTCCACGGCCCGTACGCTGGCAGTTTCGTCGTTGACTTTTCTAGCGGTTCCGTCAACGACCTCGCCCCCGCAAGTCGCGCGATCGAATCCTCTAGATACCTTTATTTTGCCCATGCCTGGGCGATGTGGATGGCGTTCGGGGTCACCTTTCCCATCGGTATGTTCATTGCTCGATATGGCAAGACGTCGATTGGCGACTGGTTCAACTTCCACGTGGGGTGCCAGACGGCGTCGGTGCTGCTGTCCACCATAGCCGCCGTCATCTCTCTCGTCGCCTTCGATGCGTTGGACACAGTGCACGGACGGCTCGGATTGGCCGTTATGATCATGAGCTGGTTTCAGCCGTTGATGGCGATGGCGCGGCCGCACAAAGGCGTTCGACTTCGTCTTCCTTGGTACGTACAGCATTGGCTCTTCGGCACGGGAGCCGTCGTCCTGGGCATCCTCAACGTCTTCTTCGGCATCGACGCCTTCGCTGCCAGGATGGACGACACGTGGACTTCTAGAATGGCGTCTCTGAAGATTGCCTTCTCCGTCGAGGTTGCCTTCCTCTTCTTCCTCTACCTCTGCTTGAACGACTGGCGATACATTCTTTCGCAGAGAGCAGGTGCTTCTCCACCACCTACTTCTCCCAAGCCTCGCCCAAGGTTGGGATTGGGAGTGGGGGAACAGCCGGCTGGTACTTGGGATGACGTTGAGTATCCCGAGTAGTGGTTGACACCGAGCCAAGAGAAGTGAGAGAAGAGCAATGAAGAATGAAGAAGTCCTTGGGGATATCCATTGACATTGGAAGATGAGTCCATGGGGTGGGGAGTCTGGGAACAAGAGCGAGCTCAGACCTGTATTTTTAGCAGTCCGTGGTTGTGCCATGAGGGCACGGCGCTCTGGAGGATGCCGTTGGATAGCACTTGAAATTGGAACGAAGCACAGAGAGAGAGAGAGAGAGAGAGAGAGAGAGAGAGAGAGAGAGAGAGAGAGAGAGAGAGAGAGAGAGAGAGAGAGAGAGAGAAGACCTGTATTTTTAGCAGTCCGTGGTTGTGCCATGAGGGCACGTCGCTCTGGAGGATGCCGCTGGATAGCACTTGAAATTGGAACGAAACAGAGAGAGAGAGAGAGAGAGAGAGAGAGAGAGAGAGAGAGAGAGAGAGAGAGAAAACTGGCATGGCCCCTGCTCAAGGAAGACACGCATGACTTTAGAGGGGGGCGGGGAAAAAAAAAAGACAAAAAAAAGATGGAATGCCGGAGCACAGAACATTCTAGAAAGAAAAACTTAAGAGAGATGAAGGGAAAGGGGAATAAGAAGATTGACGTTAGCAGCAAGACTCGCGCAGGCAGCTGCCGCCACCATCTTCACCGTCATCTGGGTGGATATGGCGATGGCCACCACGACTCCACGCGCCTAAGAACGACATGGGAGATGATCGCCCATCTTCTTGAACCTGGGGATGTGCAGGCGAAGCAAAATAATGATGATGATGTCCATGTTTTTATTTTTAAATTTGTTTCTTTCGTTCATAATCCACCATAGCCAGCTGAAATCGAGAAACGATTGGCTTCTTTTTTTTTATAAAGACGGCCATCGCCAGATGGAATCGAAGTTCGATTGCGTGTTCTTCTCTTTCTCAAAGTTAAACCGCCATCCCAATCTGGAACGGGAGTTCGATCGCCTTCTTTCTTCCTCAAACTGAGATGATCATCTAGAATCGAAGGCCGATTTGATTTGAGTATTAAAAAAATGCTGGATTGCTTTCTTTATCTCTCAAGCTGCCATCGCATATGCAATCGAAATTCGATTGTGCTGGGTTCCTTCTGAAGCCGCCATCGCCATCTGGAATAGGAGTTATTGCCTTCTTTCTTCCTTCTGAAGCCGCCATCGCCCCAATCTAGAATCGAGGTCCAGTGATCTGAGCAGGACAAAGCAGCTCAATTGCCTTGTCTGCCAGTAGGTGGAAGTTGCTTTCCACTTAGGGGGAAAAAAAAAAAACAGACAGACTCTTCGGCGTGCGGCTACCGTCTGCACCCGAATTCAACATACGGTTATTACAACTGTATGTGGGGCAACTTTGAGTCTGGATGCAGCAATAATGTCAGTACGTTGTATTCCGGTGAAGAGTCTGAAGACGGTAGCAGAATCTATCTTCTGATTCTTCTCCTCTCACATCGGATTCCGCGCGTCCACTGCTTCTCAGACTCTGAGCACGGAGTAAGAGCGGAGGATTATATTGCATCTGGTCTGAAAGTTGGGCCAAATACGTCTATAATGACCGGGCGTTCTATTCGAATCATGAAGATGGGAGTTGGGTTTAATGTCCGTATTATTCAGTTGAGCGGCATTATTCCGATAAGTCTCAAACTCTGATCATCTAGGAAAAGCGGGGGAGGACCTTCACAGCATAACTACGGGAAAAAAAAAGAAAAAAAAAGTTTGGAATTATTTCGATCAGCGCTGCTGGGTCGTAGAAAACGTTCTGTTGTATGTGATGATGAGAATTTGCCCTAGTATTCAAATTTCAACTTTTGCCAATTGTTTTTTTTGGGCGCGTGCAAATAGTACTAGTGTTTTGTTTTTTGTGGGGGGGGGGGGGGGGGGGGGGGGGGGAAAAAAAAAAGGGTTTTTTTTTTTTTTTTTTTTTTTTGGTGAAGAATTTCGATTTGACCCTGAGGCAAAAGTTGTTCAGTTT